GTACTCAACACTAATATATAATGTTACAAATTAAACCAAAAATTTAATAAAAACAAAATTTTTTGTTTTTTAAAGAAAATTTAAAATTTTTTGTAAAATATTTTTTGGGTTTTTTTTAGTATTAAAGTAGAGTTTAGGATTAGGTTTATTAATAAATGAGTATATGTAGGGTTTATAGGCTCTAAAGGTAGATATAAGAGGTTCTTAATTTTATTTTGATCAGATTTTATTTTAATTGATGATCCATAAATCAACTAGACAAAACACATAGTAAAACATGACTCAGATTACTATATAAATTATATATACTTCAAATACCACAATTGTCTAAGAAAAACTTTTTTCTTATTAAGTTAATTAATCTTTTATATTAAAAGAAAGTTGTAGAACTCATTAAGACGCATTTAATAGTGGTTAGATCATCCAAATTAGTCGAGATATTATTCAATGACTATGTAAAATTTCTATAAAAACAATATAGTTTCTATAAAAATTTTACATAGTAATTGACATGTTTTTTAATGATATCTCAACAATTACTAGCCGATTTGGATGTTCTAACTACTATTAAATGTGTCTTAATGAGCTCTACAACTTTTTCTTAATATAAAAGATCAATTAACTTAATAAGAAAAAAAGTTTTTCTTAAACAATCGTAGCATTTTAGGTATATATAATTTATATAGTAATCTAAGTCATGTTTTACTGTATGTTTTGTTTAGTTGACTTGCAGATCATCAATTAATCTATAAACCAAAAAAGATTTTATTTTGTTTACTTTATAGTTAGAGTGAGATTTGATATTTTAGCAAGGTATTAAATATATGCAAAATTTAGCAAGGAATTTTTTTTGTTAGAATATTGAAGATAGTTTTATAGACGAATTCTTGAATTATTAGCATTTTTTTAAAAAATTTTTATTGTTATTATATAAATTGATTTGCATATTACACCTGATTTTGTAAATCTATTAGTTAATTATATACTAATAATAATCACTACCAGTTATAGTTACTAAATTTATTTTAAAATATTTCAAAATTATACAAAATAATGTGAATAATATTGCAAAAAATATAAAATAATAATTTGTAAAATATTATACAATATAACAAAAGAATATATAAAAACACAAAATAATATAAATAAATATTATAAAAATAATTTATTAAATTTTTATTATACAAAAAATCTTAAATCAAAACTCTTTCTGATGATCACTTGAATTAAGACTACACCAAAACAGTTTGAAAATTCAAGGTCCTAAAAAATCTAAAGATATCTGAGGTTTCTTATTAGTACTGTTGTCGATGAAGACTTATATATAAAATACTGAGAAGTAAATATATATAGTTAGTTTGTGCTTTGGATTAAGCTTTTCTTTTTGGTGGACTCTCTTACATATTTAGCATCTAAGCTAAAAGGATTATTTTAGTAACAGTAATAGTGAAAAACTCTTAACTCAAATGTTTAAAGCTTTTTAGTTCTATAAAAAACAACTGAAAACACTTTTATTGTCTTGAGCTTTCACAAATACAATATTTTTTCCCTTTGATATTTTTGGCCATAATTTTCAACAAAAAGTGAGGAATTTAGCATACCCTCTTCAAAAGATCAGCAATATTTATCACTTCTATATTAAAAAACTCTGCATAATAACAAACAATACATGTAAAATAGACGCTGATAACGAATTTAGTAACTGGATGAGTGTTCAAAAGAATACCTTACATGTCATGTTGTTAAAGATACACAAACACATAATCACTAGATAGGGTACATGAAGATTCCAAAATTCTTATACTTTTGAATGAAAATATAGATTTAATTAAAAAAGTAAAGCAAAGTGAAAAGAGATATACAGACATCCTTTAGTCATCTATATATAATTTTTAGCCTTCTGCATAAATTATAGTATATTTTATTTTAGTTTTAAATTTCTTGTCAAGACTCTTGTACTTAATAATAGATTGTAACTCTATATAATTAGAAGTTTTTGTCTAGTTAGCAGGTTTTTTTCTTTTAGCAATAGTTTCTTTTAGGTTTTAGTTTAGTTTTTTATATTCTTTAGTATTAGTATCCATTTTCTTTGATGTACAGTCGCACCACAATATAGTCACCTACTCAGGATACAGAAATTGGGTGACTATAAAAAGGGGTAACTATATCTGATTACCTTTATAAAGTCACTAAATATATAATTAAATATTTATGGTAACTATAAAAATTATTATCTAATTATTTTAAAATAATTAATGTAGTATATATAGGATTCCTATTTCTATCTGACTTGCTTAATAAATTTTATATTAAGAACTCAATTAAGGTTGCCAAATAGTATAGCATGCTCTGATTTAGCACTAATTTGTCCGTATTTTTAAATCTTTACAAACAAATATAACCTGTATTACTTTAGCGGATTTATAATAGATAAAATTTTTTAGCCTAGTCAGTATATTATTAACAAGAGCAGACTGTATTAACATCTTAGATCTAAACAGATTTCTCAGCATAGCCAACAAAAAATCTCGGGTATGTAATAATTGAAAATACGTTTATGTTAAGGTTAGCTTTACTTTAGGGTTAGGTGTTAGTGGGGTATAGTAGTAAAATTATCCAAAAAAGGGCTTTTTGTTAGAGTACTAAAGGTGATTTCTTATAAAATTTTTAGTTATAAGCGATTTTTGGCAAAATAAACATTTGCTTTTTTAAATTTTCCTGATCGTGCTATGTTAGATCAATTATCGATTAGCTATTGGTTAGTTTCCTGTCAATCATTAAAAATGCTCAATATTTTTTGTTAGGGGAGTTGGTCTAACATACTTTATTGCACTTTTCAAATTTCATGCTAAATTATCATTATTTAGACCAACCGAATAGCATAACATGATTGATCGGCCAATCAAATTACTGATTTACAAAATTTTGGAATTCATAGGGATTCAAAAAATAAAGCAAAGTGTAAGCCTCTGTTTTCTTAAAGAATTTTTTTACATTTTTTAGAAAAGATAAGGCACATAAGCCTTTCAAAAAAGTATTGTAAAATAACAAAAAAATTCAGTATCAATTATATAACAACTCTTGTAATATCCACTGTCTTTGCTATATAATTAACTGAATCGGATATGAATCTCAACGTGCTAGATTTTAAAAAAGAATTACTGATCATGTTAAAGAAAATTACAAAAGCCCAGTTTGACAACATACAACAGTTATAATAGTACTTATATACTGATTCTATGAATACTACTAAATTAGGATCTCCTTTAGTATAGGTAGGCATATATAAATTATTACAAGATTATAATATATAAAACCTAACTAATTTGAGCTAATTTAAATTCTAACCTTAATCCTGACCCTAATAATTTATAAAATTACTTAAATTAGTTTAAAATAATTAAGTTATATATATTATAATTGTATAATAATCATATATGCCCACCTATACTAAAGATCAACTCTAAATTATGAAACTACAAAGAGGTTAAAAAGATGAAAGGTAGTCTGAAATAAATATTATGTTTTTGGCAAGACTCAATAAATACTAAATACAAATGGCACACAATAAATAAGAATTTTAGTAGTTAGTATTAGGTTCATTTTCCTGTTATAGTATTAATTTTTATAAAAATTCAAACTAAGCTAATATATTGATCAGTCATGCACAATATTTAAAATTAAAAAAAAAAAATACTTGCACAAATGCATTTTGTGTAATTTTTTTAAAAATTTTACTTGCACACTTAATGGATTTTAAAAAATATAAAAAAATTTAAAAATAATTCTTGTATATATACATCTTGTGTGAGCTAATTTTAAACACTGGTCATACATATGTTGCGGATGATACTGAAGTTTGGAATCTATTAACAATTCTAACTGTAAATCCTAAGCTAACCCTTAAAAAAACAAAAAAAAATGAATTTCACAAATTTTTAAAATTTCATATCAAAATAAAGTCTATTCTCAGCATCAACCGATTTTAGCTTCAACTATGACTTTTATTTTCAAATACAAGACTTATTAATATTCAAAAGTAAAATAGTTTGTAATTGACATTTGCTTTTTGAACTTTTCAAATACACATCTATAATTATTACTTATTTGTCTTAAAAATTTCAATTTTTCAGGATTAAGGCTAGATTCTGAATTTGTCTGCTCTTCGTAGCGTAAAACACTTTAGTTGTTACAGGTGAAGGAGAAGGCTCTTCATTATCATCGCTTTCCTGTTATTGATCATTTTCTTCAGCTTGGACTTAACAAAAGTATTAGGAAAAAAGCAAAGTTGTCTAAAACAAAAATTTTTTCTTATGGTCAAATATGATAAAGCATTTAATGCTTTAACTAAACTAATAAAAATTAAACTAGATAATATACTATGGTGATTATTTCTTCATTATTGAGCAATCCTTCTGTTGTAATGGGTTCATCAATAGTTTGAATATACCTTTCTATAGCCTGAACTATTTTAGAAACTTCAGGATTATCACTCAATGACAAGTCTGTAATAATTTCTGCAACCTCATCGTCATCCAGATTATTTTCAGATTCTTGATATTCAAATTCTATTTCTACCTCACTTGCATCTGAAAGAATTCTTATTTTACGCCAGCAATTTTGAATAGTTATATCGGTCATGTCACATTATAACTTTGAAATAAAATTAACCACTTGTCTTACATTTAGCTTATTACTGTAAGTATAAAAAAACGGTTAAAATTAAACCAAAAAAAAAAAAGGTTGATACTAGAGTTGCTGGTGAAACTAAATTAAGCTAATAAAAACTAGTGATTATCTAAAATCAGATTTTAGACAGTCATGCAACTTTAGTTAATATACAGCAAATCTGATTTACTGTGTATCAACCTATACTATAGAATATAAGATTTTGCTAACCTTTTCAGATCGATATTAGACTCAAATTAATTAAGAATATGCCTGCAATAAAGCTTTTTGTACTTAGATTTGAACGATTGAATAATACTAGCATCTATAGGCTGAAGGTGCACAATTATATTAGGTAAAAGGTAATGAAGTTTAATGTTTATAAGTTTAAATGATTTGACACCAGTATCTTTTTTTTTTGTGATATTTTACTAGATGTTCCATACAACATTGTTTGTGGTCTTCTACGTAGTCTTCTGCGTGATCTTCCGCATGGTCTTTCGTGTGGTTTCCCATGTGATTCTTCATGTGATTCTTCATGTGATTCTTTATGTAGTTGAAAATCAAATCAATTATTGTCATTTTCTTCAGGATTAGAAATCCTATCATTTTTATTATTATCAAAATCTAACTGATTATTTTTAGTTTATTGATCTTTATTGTTATCAATATAAGGATTGGATGGTTCAGGTGCACTAAGGGACTTAGCATTATCTATAATTAACAAGACTTTTTTGCTTTGAATATGAAAGCCTTTATTATGAAATTTTAACCAGTCTTCCCAAATGTCTGATCTCATCTATGCACACTCATTATTTTTATATATAACTGGGAGCTGTGAAATCCTTATACTATTGAAAGACCGTAGTTTTTTTGATTTATCAATAATCAGAGGCCGAAGTTTGTGCGAGCTAGTTGCATTTGCAGCCAGCAGTACGATAAGTTGTAATTTATCCTATAGTAACACAGTAATACATTATTAATCTTTAGTTTTATTCAGAATAGTAAAAAAATCAAATTTTCTTATCTTTTTTTTTCAGAAACCGCTTGCTTTGCTAATATTTAATGCGGTAGCATCTGAAAAAACAATCTGATCTTGTCAGCATTATATATATTATCAGACTCATATTGAGAAAGAAGTTGTTTTAACTTAATTCTCTTATTTAACAAAGACTCCAGAGGTGCACTCGCAGCTTCTCTACTAAATCTGTATCAACTTAAAGAATTTCATTTTTTGAAATTTGCAACCTATCCATTTGAAAACTTAAGGTCATCCTCAGAAATGTCAAGATGATTTCCAAATTCATAGCCTTTTAATTTTATCAAATCATCTATAAGGACCATACCAGCAGTGGAAACTTGATTTATCTAAATTGTCATTGCCGTTTCAAGTGTAGAGTACTTTGGTAGCTTGTTTCTATATCAGGTTTGTATTATAGCAGTTTCTTCAAGGTAAAGATATTGATCACTTTTTTTCAAAGTCTTAGTGATAGTTGACCTATCAAGGTTTAGCGAAGGATATCTTCTCATGAACACATCAGCGATGTCCTGGTGTCTATCCATTGGGTATGCTTTAAAATATTCACATATTTCTTTATGTTGGGCATTACTAAGTCAGCTACATGTTTTCTTCAATACATAATCAGGAGATATAGTAAAAAAAAAAACACGAAACGTAAAAGTTAGCAAGAATAGTAGATTATGGTATATATGACTTTTTATATTGTTTCACAAGCAACTTACCGAGAAAAAAAAAAAAAAAAAACGAAATGTATCTAAGTTTGAGCAAAATACGCATAAGTTATAAGATTTTTTTTTCAAAAAAAAAAAAAAAAGGAGGGCATAAGAATAAACTTTTATTCAAGGAGTAAGCAATAGTTTAGGATAGTTTAGGATATCAGAATAGTCTAGAATAGTTTAGAACTACAATTGTGTAAAAAAAAAAAAAAAAGGGACACAAGAATAAACTTTTAGCCAAGAAGTATAAGAGGATAGTTTAATCACAATTATGTTTATTTTTTAATGTGCGTACAGTTTATTAATACAGTTCATTAGAGGCAGTTTAAAGTATTAAGGTATCATTATTATAATTCGAATTGTTCTTCGCTACCCAACTAAAGGCTCTTTTTATAGTTCTTTTCCTTGGATATACAAATACAATAATCTATACATAACTTCTGTGAACTTCTACATATTAGTATTGTTATAGAACAGTTTTATTTTATTAGTTATTATTTTATTTTAGTATTATTTTATTATTTCGATATTTGTATTTTATTA